GCCGGTGCAAGTGACATGTTTAGTTTTATATTTGTCCTTTTTTAGTGTTTGTTCAGATTTTTAGCAGCACACAATATTTGCACTTTCTTGCAAGCTGCAGTAGTATAAAAGTAAAGCCAAAGCAAAGAACAACGAAGGTGAAATCAGTGCGGAACTGAAACATGTTTTTCTTTAAGAAACAGGTAGGTTATGTGATGAGAATCAGGAGAGAAACACTGCAGATAGCAGACTGGATTTCATTTCAAAGTGTACATCCACTTCAGCTGATGCATTTATTCCTTTATGTTTCTTCTGCCAGAGAGAATTGAATTATGGAGGTGTTTTGAAATGTTTTGTTATTGCCATCTGAGAGCAATATATATACGTGCTTCCACTCACCAAGAACATGTTTACTTTTCCTTTACCACAGATCTTTATTCTCTCACTCACACACACATCCACATTTTGAAGCACAGCTCAAACCTCAGCTCAGTCCTCATCAGGCAGTGGTGTGCCAGGATCGCTCACCTGTGCAGCGGATTCATATTATTGAGTCAAACAGGTACAGAGTAGCATGCTGGGAATGCTGGAGTCAAATGTGTGCATGTATGAGTGAAAACAACTGTGCAAAGTCTACAGACAGCAGATTAGAGGGAAGATTCAGTAGAATTTATAATTTTTTTATATATATATATATTTTTTTTACATTTTAAGAGTGTGATGCATGTGTGATGAAATGATAGACGGAAAAGCACTGCTCAGAAAGTGCTCCAGCTGGTCTCATTCAAGGTTTACCACAGCTGGAGCCGGGACACTACAATCAGTGCTCAAGAACTGAAAGAAATACAACTGCTGTCAACTAACAATTTCACAATATATATTGCCAGATGAAAGGTCATAATTAATCCGTTTTCTTCTTTCCTGTTGTTAGGAAGTCCTGTCTCTATCACCAAAAAGTGAAAATTTGTGACCTTTTAAAAGCTAAATACAGTCCTATTGATTTTAGTTTGCTGACATAAATTGACCAAGAGAGACTGTTTAGTTGAGTAGGTCGGTAATAATGTTGGACTAGATTAATACTGTTAATATTAAAGGGATACTTCAGGATTTAGCATTAAGCTTTGTATCAGTAGAAAACCAGTAGTATTTTCGAATTACCGTGCTTCCTCCCCTCATATCCCCCAGATATGAGAGAAAAATGTATTTTTAGTCTGGAAAAAATCCTCAGATGACGCAAAAATCGTCATTTTGCTTCATCGAAGGATTTTTGTGCCAGAGGCTAAAGACTACAGCCAGTGTTCCGCATGTTTTCACCACGCCCATATGGGGCGGGATCTCACTCACAGAATGTAAAGATAGTGTCAGCCATCTTTCTGTAGAAGCTAAGCTAACAGGCTCTTGCTTCTTGGTCTGTGTAGAAAGTTTGTATAGTAGGCTAATCACGATGGCGGAAGGTAGTTTTGAAGTTGAAATGGCAGAAGGGGATTTCGAAGATCTGTTGCGAGAATCTGATGCTCGCGGCTACCTGTACGAGCCGCAATACAGCGATAAACAGTTGAGGATGGAGATGGAGGAACAAGAGGCGGCCGGAGCGAGACCTGAGCCCGGCCAGACTCGAGCTGGGGTGGACTGGCGGTGTTAGTGCTCTCGCTGTGCGCCTATGGAAACAGATATAGAGTCCTATTGCTGTCGCGAATCTCAGCGGTGCCATTTTCTTCTGGACGAGATCGCTGAATCCACAGAGCTTTGAGTGTAAAAGTGTTAATATTATTTTTTTAAAATAAAAGTTATAACTCACATTGGTTGTGGTTCTTTTTATAAACCTTTAGTGTTACTAGAGTACGGATTAGCCTAGATAATGTATTAGCTTAGAGAAATAGTGATTTCAATTGGAGGAAAACAGTTCATATGCAGAGCTACTAAGCTACTCTGTTGACATGGTCCTGCCTTGCATCATATTTTTAATGTGAAAGTCTAAGTTGTGTTATATACATTAGGCTACTACATCCCGGTACAACGCAATTTAGCACCATTTCGATGGAAATTCATCAAATAACTCACGATGTATCAAAGCAAGCCTAGTTGTATCCATTTTTCGGATTCTGCCGCCTGTAACCGGTAGGCGTGGTTTGGGAGTGGCCTCGTAAGGGCAGCAAAGCAAGTGCATTCTGGGAGTTGTTGTCTTTCAGCCACATTTTCTGCCTTTTCTCAGTCTAGAATGCTTCAATTTCAAAAATAATTTCACATTTCTACTATATAAATGACCAATATTAAATACACATTCATCTTCCCAGAGGTGAAGTATCCCTTTAACAAGCCCTTATATTCATATTATTGTGCATGTAGTGTTATTGATCAATTCTACACATTTTTAATAGCTGATGAAATGCAAATGACAAAAGAAATAACAGCTGTACTGTTTTTTTTGTCATTACATGTGAATTCCCTTTAGCAATCATATACACACCAAGCTGATTTGCTAAAAGAAGTTCGTCTGCATTCCATCTGAGAAAATTTTAACTGTAAATGGAGTGGAATGCATTTTACACTTTCCGTAATGTACTAATCTATGAAGAGCAAATAAAATAACAAAAAACAGTTTACAGCACAGCTTCAAAACACTTCTCCCTGTAGTGAAGGAGTAAATTGTCTGTCAAATAATAGAATCATTTGTTCTTATCAACACGTTCAAATAGTCTGGTACACTATCAGTTATTGAGTTTTGATTGTCTTTTCTTGAGTGATGCTGTTTCTAATTTCATTTTTGTTTGTTTACATGCTGCTTAATGAAGCTACTGTACATAAAAAAACACAATTGTATTATTCAAAAGCTGCTGTGGAACCATTGTGTAAAGCTGCTTTTTCTAACTTAGTTTGCCTCATCATGTGCTACTGTTCTCTGTTTGATTGCTGTAGAAGATGTCACAGTACAAAAAGGCATAAAGGTTCTTTGAAGGTTGAGATGAAGAAAGAATGTATCAAAAGGGATCTTCCTGAAATCAAGAGTTTCAGTTGAATAAGCCAGGAAGACTCACTTTTCCTAGAACAGGATTGCAATCATGGATACTCTTGTTGATCTGATCTATTGTGCAATTCAGTAGAGGAATCCAGATCAATATTTTCAAGTTGAAAACTAAAAAAATAAACCCAAGACACTCTTCATTGTTTTGAAGCATCCATGCAAGCGGAGTTCCAGCCCCTGGCTGTTTTTTAATATTGCATCCGATGTGCACTTAGAAATGCAGCTTGAGCAGGAAAATTACTTTTTTTTCTATCTGTGTCTGACATAAAAATACACTCCCACTATCTTGTTCTGTGTAGAATACACATATATTGAACTCGGTCAGGATGTTTGATAAGGAACATTTTTGATCAGTCTCCTGAAATGTGGTCTTATCGTCTCATTACTGCCTGCAGTTAGTCCAATATATTCCCTAAACATGAAAGCCAGACTGTCCCTCTGCAGGTGTTCCTATCTCACAGAGATATTCCACTGTGTCCACTGTCAAGATTCACACCCAGATATCCAACAATCGCTATTCCATTTCGTTGACAGGGTGTGACTGCATTTCTGTACCATCTGGAATTCTGTACCATGTACTGTCACTGTAACATAAAGGTATAGTTCACCCCAAAATTGAAAATTCTCAAAAATTAAAATGATTTACTCATTTTGTTCTAAACCTGCACTACATTTTTTTTCTTTTAAAAGAAGATATTCTGAGAACTTACTTTATTTATTTATTTATTTATTGTCCATACATTTAAAGTCAATGGTAACCTAAACTTTTTGAATGAGTTGGCAGCATTCTTAAAATATTATCTTTTGTGTTCCACATATACAAATGCATGCAGGGCAGGACTGCATTTCAGAATTGTCATTTGTGGATGAACTATCCCTTTAAAAGGTTTGTTCACTCAAAAATGAAAACTCTTGTCATTAATTACTCACCTTGATGTCGTTCCAAACCCATAATACTTTCGTTTATCTTCAGAACAGAAATGAAGACTTTTTGATGAAATCTGAGAGCTTTCTGTCCCTCCATTGACAGCTACGCAACTATCACTTTCAAGCCCCAGAAAAGTATAAAAGACATCTTTAAAGTACCGGTAATTCATGTGACTATTTAAAAAAAAATGTATTTCTTTATTTACAAAATATTGATTTCCAACGCGTTTTCATGTAACAACGTCCGTTCTCATGTCAACATAACACACATGCCTCGTTGTGCTCTCGTAAATGGACGTTGGAGATGAATATTTTGTAATTACAGTGGTAAATTATGTTATTTTTTCACAAACAAAGCACTCGCGTTTCTTCATAAAATTGAGGTTAAACCACTGGAGTACCATAGATTACTTTTACGATGTCTTTACAACCTTTCTGGGTCTTGAAAGTGGTAGTTGCGTAGATTGTCAATGGAGGGACAGAAAGCTCTCAGATTTCATCAAAAAGATCTTCATTTGTATTCTGAAGAGGAACGGGAGTCTTACAGTTTTGGAATGACGTGAGGGTGAGAAATTAATGACAGAATTTTCATTTTTGGGTGAACTAACCCTTTAAGATTGTGCCATCCTATGGTTTTGTAATGTAAATCGTTTCCATCAACCCCATTTTGTGCCTCTCTCTCCTCTATTTTGCTGTCAGCAAAGAGTTGTGACGGACAGACACCCTCATCAAGAGCAGAGTGTGGTTTACACTGCATTAATTAGACACTTCAAATATGCACTAATTACTTTTGAGTTTCTTTTTAATTAATTAATTATTATGTCTGCACATACGTGAGATATGAACTTTTGACAGCTTTTCCCCATAGATTCAAAACATTAAAAGTAAAGTTTGCTTTTTAGATTGTTACAGGAAGGAGACATTCTAATTTATGAGAAGTGCACAGAAAGTGTCCTTGGATCTCTTTGCGTCATGCTTGAGCTTCTAATTTTGGAATGCAGACCAAGAAGATAGCTGTTTATTTCCATCTTAGTAATTTTCTTGCATTCTTTTGTCTTTTTGTTTTCTGCAGGCAGTGGAAACGAATCTAGCATCCAAAGATAGTCACTGGGTGTACGCCAATGAGGTAAGCACATATTCATAATGAGTTTCGTAACTCATTCTTATCTTTTTTTAAAAGAGACATCAACGTCAAAGCTGTTTGCAATCAGAATCAGAAAACAGCCCAAATTCAGTCTGCTGTCGTCATATCCAATTTCAACTTCCTGTGTTTGATATGTGTGCACATCTCTCATTCAGTATGTATGTAATATGCTGTCACCAAGCTAGAGCAAAGCTGACACTGGATTATTGCACTGGCACGACTCAGAGCCACAGTTTTGCTCTCCTTATTCCTCTCTCTCTCCCCTCACTCTGTTGACTGAGAGCTGGATTGGAAGCAAGACCTCATGAGTGTCTGGCCCTATAAGCCAATAAGAGCTGAGCGCGAAGAGTCTGGCCCCAATAAGAGCGGAGTGCAGTGGATGGCATGAAAACGCTGATTCTGTTTGATTGTGTTGACACAAACATCAATTTCTACATAATAAAACGAAAAAGGAATCAGACAATGTCTTTATACAGATGTGAGTGAGAGAGAGAAAGAAAACTTTGCTTTTAGTTTGGTTCTCTGGGAGTACCTGACAATATGACAAAGTCATACTTGAGTTGTTTTTTTACAGCACACTACAAGCTTATCCAAAAGCACTCTGTCTATCTCTCTGTATCCCCTCTACACTACTGGCCAAACAAAAATGTGATTTCAAAGCCATTCACATGGAGTAGGAGTCATCTCTTTCCAGAAGAACATGGATGTGGGTATTTGATCCCATTCCGACACATTTCAAAAAATGGCAGTTGTTGTATTTTAGGGTTGTTCACCCAAAACACCCTCTTCTATACATTGAAAGTGGATGGGGGCTAAGAGCTGTTAAGCACCAAAAAGGACAAAAAAGGGGGACTACTAGGATGATATATTTCTAGTCTTCTCAACCCATATGATACCTCGGTGTTCGAAAGTCATCATTCATAGCTTTGAAAATCATGTGCTCAGCATTCACTTACATCATACATACAGGTTTGGAAAGACATGAGAGTGACCAAATGATGTTTCATTTTTGGTGAACTTTTCCTATGAAGAAAAGTCACCAAGGAACATGGCTTGTGAAATGTATAGCTTAAAAAAGAAAACCTGTGGTTTTCCCACATTATTTTTCAGGCCATGTAGAGCATCTCTCTCTCTCTCCTCTCTCTCTCATCTCTCTCTCTCTCCTCTCTCTCTTCTACTCTCTTCTCTCCTCTCTCTCTCACTCTCTCTCTCTCTCTCTCTCTCTCCTCTCTCTCTCTCTCTCTCTCTCTCTCTCTCTCTCTCTCTCTCTCTCTCTCTCTCTCTCTCTTCTTTCTCTTTCTCTCTTCTCTCTCTCTCTCTCTCTCTCTCTCTCTCTCTTCTCTCTCTCTCTCTCTCTCTCATCTCTCTCTCTCTCTCTCTCTCTCTCTCTCTCTCTCTCATCTCTCTCTCTGTACAGTATATGTCCTTGAATCAGACTGACTAAACTTTATGAGACATTAAATCATAGGAGCTGCTCACTTAACGGGGTAGTGTCATGCTCCACTTTAATCTGTGAAAGTATGCACAAGATTGTTATTTTACATTGATATTATTTTTAGATTTGTATTTGTTTTTTAAAGTTAATTTGCTCACTATGAGTGCACTTCTCTGTTAATTATTCTAGACCTCACTGATAACCATAATATTTTACCCACCAAGTTATAGTACAGTATGCACACTTATATAGTAACTAGAAAGGAAATGTAAATGTACGTAAATCATTGACCACTCTTTTATTGTACCTGTTTTTTTTTTTTAAATATGCATCTCCAATCCTATTTCAGCTTGTTTGAATTAACAAATTAAAGCACAGTCACATTAAACCTAGAAATGATAAAACAAAGCAATTCATGATTCATTACCTTAAGGTTGAACTAGAGAGGTTTAGATGTTCACTGAGTCACATCGCTGTGATGCTTCTGTTTGTCCCTTATCCTGAATTGAAGCGGAGGAATTTGCTTGTGCCTCAACACAAAGCAGAAATGAAGGTCAACACAACAACTATGAACACAAATGAAGCCTCTACGGTTGTTGTTCATCAAGGTCATGACTCATGGCGGATCGCCTGGTGTAGTTCATATTCATTTTAACTTGGATTTGGTCTATCAGTGTTTGAAACACAGTCAAGTTTCATACAAATGATGCCAAATAAATTTTTTTTTTACTGGAAATAATTGAAATGAAATATTGAAGGGGGAAATATTAACTCTGTTTTCCCTGTGATGTCATTGTGACATTGTTTCATTAAGCCAAGCTAAGGCACAGATGTGTCTTAAGCTATATTCAGGGGGTCTGACCTTTATTAGATGTCAGAACATTCTCTTACCGTCACAAACGCTTGAAGTTTAATTAAATGACAGATTTCATGCAGCATGTTCAGGGATTCAAACATCTGTGGTGATTTAATTACAGACAGTGACATCAGAAGTCCAGACTCTTCTTGATGTCACCTTCATTAGTTGATCAGTAAAATGTTTTATTGTGACGAATAAATGAATAATTAATACCTTCAACTGGGACTTGTATCAGACATCATTTATATTTTGAGCCGGGCTGTTTTGATTAATGTGTGCGTATGATCTCTATGTATTCTCCTGCTACTGTACTATTTTTTGTCCAAAAGCCAACTGTTAGACTGCTGCCAAGACAGAAAGATGTTTTGTAAGATCGAAGTCACTGTAAATTTACTGTAAAACGTACTGCATTTAAAGGTCAGTGAGTCACAAGCTAATTTATATCTCCTGGTGTTTTTTTAGAGAAGTATTTAAATCTACTGTAGTGCAGAAAGGTTTTGTGAGAGTTTTTTTTTGTAATTGTACCATTCAATGGCCATACCACAATTCTATATTCAATATGTAAGACACAATACTGTTAAAAAATGGAGTCAGTAAGGTTGAATGAATACTTTTATTTAGCAAGACTTACTTATGACAAACCTTTGAACGATACAATTTTTTTAATGAGAACAAGTTAGAGACATACTCATAAGAAAACTAAATACCTACATGTACTAAATAGTGTTCAGCGTCATAGCAAACGTCTTTTTTTTTTCTTTTTTTTTTTTTCTTCAATCAATCAAGACTTCAGACACCACTTCAGATTTAGACTCATTTAGCTGCAGAAAACTAGTTGCCATCCACACCTTTATTTCATCCAGGCAATCAATCAGATGAAAGTTTGGAGTCATCATCACATTTCAGAGGTAGATACAGCTGGGTGTCGTCTGCTTAACAGTGAAGCACCACGTTGTGTTTTTGACAGATTAATCTCAGTAGGACCATAAGGAAAACAAGACAGGGCCAAGACATTAACCTTGAGGAACCCCTAATAAGACAGGATGAGAGGATGAAATAGTGTTCCCTAGTTCCACAGCAAAGGTTCTTCCATGTAAATAGGATGAGAACCACTTTAGGATGAGAACCACTTTAGTAAATAGGATGAGAGCACCCCCCCCCCCCCCCACACACACACACACACACACACACACACACACACACTGACTTAAGCGGTCAAGAAGAATCCCATGATCCACCGTATCGAATTCTGTGCTGAGATCGAGAAGCACTAAAACAGCACAGTTCCCAGAATCTACAGACATCAGCAAACCATTAGTTACTTTGATAAGGGCAGTTTCAGTGCTATGCACAGATCTAAAACCAGACTGGAATTGATAAAAAATCAAATTGGTTTCATTATAGGGTTAAAGTGATAGTACTACAATAGTAGACTGTTAGTGATTGTAATTAGCTTAAATGCAAAAACTATATGTGAAGAGCCTAAAGATATTTATACTCTGTCTGAGTGTTTAAACACTCTCTGGTAATAGTGCATTCATAACAGATCGCTTTCTAGCCCTAGATATCCAAAGATTGTCACAAAGCCACAGCCTAACACACATGGTGGGTCTCGAGAGAAGAAATGTGCTTAAATTCAACACAGAGAATCAATGTTCCCTCTAATTTTTTCTTGCTGAACAAAACCTCTCTCAATAAGTCATGCAGAACAGTTTGATTCTACTGTATATAATATGGTCCTATAATAAATTGACCATTTTTTAAAGATTTTAAAAGATCCATTATTTCAAGCCTATATTCTTTAAAAAAACGATGAAATTTTTTCACGTCTTTGCGTTTACATTGTCTCTCCTCTTTTGTACCGCAATCATCAAAGTATTCCAACAGCTACTGATCATTTTGTTTCTGTGAAACCTGTAAATTGCATTCACCGATTCCAACTCAATAGCAACAATAACTTTGTAGCGGTTGACCCGAACACTGCAATTATTTCTTAATCACTAAAATACAATCAAATAGCTTTCCCAAGACATTTTGCTTCTGCCTTATTCATACATAAATCTATGAAATTCAGCATTACATTTTTTCTGCCTTGGTGTTTCATCAGATATGCAAGGCCGTGGGAACGTTGCAGAGAAAACTTCAGATATTTCACTAATTTATAGACTTTAAAACTGGAGAACATGTATTGTACCTCAGGTATAGCTGATATTCAAGAAATAGTTCAGTTTCAGTTTGTAGCTTATAGTATATTGCAGATCTTTAGAAGTGTTTTGACTTCGGTGCAGCATATTCTCAGAGGGACCAATCCGTCATTCCTGTCATTATTTTTCCTTCATATGTTGTACTTTACATTCCTGAAAGTAATAGGTTTAATTAACTCCCTGAGGCTTTAGCTACTCCAGTGTGATTTTATGAATCGCACTCAAAGAATATAAAATATACTAAACTATATGTTTTACCCTCAGGTGCTCTTCAGTCATTTCTGACCGGAACATTTTCTGTTTTGAATTTTTAAAAATCACAGCTTCATCGGAATGGTACGAAACTTGGTGACTTTTATGGCATTTGGAATGTGAACACGCAAAACAATTGAGGGCATGATTCGCGCAGGCTAAGTGGTCGTGAAAAAATAGTCACACTTGAAAAAAATGACCGACCATAGGAAATGAATGGGAAATTGACAAAAACACAAACATTCAGATCATTTTTGTGTGTACAATCTACAAATCGGCCACGATGCAGAAAAAAAGGTGCTCAGCAATGAAGGCGTGAAACTCTAAAACATCAATAGTGCAAAACAGATACACACACAGTGTGTCAGTGTGTAGCTGACATGTAGTTGCAAAGTTACTTCTAGTCAACAGAATGTTCAGAGGGGACCATCAAGTTGTTTCAGTGTTACCGAAAAAAATAAACCAGTCTAAGTTTTACAGAGTATTTAGGCACTTGTAGGTCAGCTAAAAACCAGCTTGGTTTAAACTTCTTTTTTCAGCAGGGATGTTTTATGCTTTTGGACCAAAGCAATGTTCTCTGTTTGCTGGGACAGTCCTCAGTGCAGCCAGGGGTTTAATATGTATTTTTGGTGGCTTTTTTTTTTTCTTCTTCTTTTTTTGCCAGTAGATTTTAATATGCCACTATACCATTGTGAAACTGTGTGTGTGTGTGTCTGTCTCTCTCGCTCTCTCTATCTCTCTCTCTCTCTCTCTCTCTCTCTCTCTCTCTCTATCTGAGTGTAGGAGGTTAGTGACACAGAGATCATGGAGCTTGTCCACAGCGCTCTGGGCCGGATGACAGTGATCCGGCAGATCTTCCCCCTGTGGAGGGACTCCAACATCCGCTGCATGAGGAACAATCATCGGATCTCCTCGTTGCTTTGCGACCCACAGGAAGGGTACCTGCAGTCTCTAGAGGTGCGTATCTTTTCAAGAGTGCAGTGAATTCATATTTATTCATCAGAAAGAGGTCTATAGGTCAAGGTCAAATTAGGTCATCTTCAATCAATGTAGTCTCAGCCACAGATGGCATATTTTTGTAGTATAATCTTTTTCAGATAAATCTGCAACCTAAACAGCACATAAAAACAAAACAAGACAAAACAACAAAACTTCAGACAGTCTCTTTCTATAAGAGTTGACCAGAAGTTCTGGCTACAAGGCAAAGATTCTTTTTTTTTTTTTCATTGAGCTACTGAAAGCTGCATGATTTACAACAAGAAATTTCAAATCTGTGGCCTTTTGCGAAAGGTTATATTGTATTCATAGTGCATGTAAGATACTTGGCAGCTGCTTTCTTGCAGAAAAGAAGTTCAGTGCATTGATTTACTCCAGTAGCTCAAGTCTGAATGTATCTAATTGTCTTTTCATTACAGCTTTGCATTTGCAGTTTAGAAGTATCTGTAACACTGCATAATGACTGCAGTAACTGTCATGTTTGTTTTCTTGGTTGTATCATTTAATTTCTCTAGAATCTTAATTCAAAACAAGGTTATGCATGACTGATCCAGATTAGCCGCCTGTGACCTGATGCTTTTACCCGTTAACAAATATTATCTTGTTAAAGTCACAGACGGTACGCTGTAATTGTGAAAACATTCCCCTCCCGTTTACGCAACATTAAAACACTGTATCTGTTTCTGGCTGAAACAGTATGAAAACATTGTTTGGGTCTTAGAATCCATTTTCCCTCTTTTAGAGCAGATGGCAAATCCATGTGTCTGTTCTCTGGGGCTCAGTGTCTCAATAATTCATGAAGAAAGAAGGTTACATACCAGCTAATGCCGAAGCAGCACCACAAAAGGACAAATAAGTCCTTTACAGAAAAGAGGAGGAGATATGCGAGATGTTAGGAGCCGCTGGGACGCCTCTCGCCCCTCTATTGGTGCTAGCGATACAGTGCAGGTTGAAAAGAGTAAAAGATTGAATATTTGCTGTGGCAGAATGGCTGTTTTAATTAACTCGAGAGGTTGCAGTCAGCATTGTGATTCTGAGCCCTCGGGCCACGGGTCTCCATGCGCCATGCTGACAGTTCACGCAACGCTGAAAAAAGGCTCTCTGGGTGCCATGCTTTTATCCATCTAGTTGATGTCTTAATTTTTACTTTATTCATTCAGATTTAAAGCTGGAGTCCTTGAAATTGTTACATTCTCAATATGTTTACATCTAGACGAACACATCGACTGGCTGCATTCGATTATATAGTGTCCTTTGTTTCGTTATGGAGGTTGGTTTTTTCGCATTGGCAGTGCATAGATGGTTGGAGATGGAGTTGACAATAGGCAGCAAAGGTGACAAGATATTAGGACAAAAATGATTTCTACAATACAGCACTAAGAAATGTTATAAACGTGCAAGATGGAGTGTGGAGTGCCATTCCAATTCAAACTGGTAAAAACAATTTAAGGAAAATCAATTATTTATATCTGGTTTCAACTCAAATGCCTCAAATAAGCTTATACACATAAATGTAGCATGTTCTTGTTCTGTGGTTACACAGTTCCCCAGGCTTCTCCAAACTAGCTTTTCTTCTGCAATTTCCACTTTTGAATATGTCGCATTTCCACCTTATTTTGAACGTAAGAGAAGGCAAGGCCATTTGTAAATTTATGTCTGGCTTCTGGTTTCATCTGCTTCTAGTTATTTTTAGCTGTACAAAACAGCTTGTTATGCTGCTTGATATTGCAAAATTGTATTTCTTACCATAGTATTTTAAAGGGGTCCTATTATGCTTTTTCACTTTTTCAACATTAGTTAGTGTGTAATGTTGCTGTTTGTGCATAATAAAGATATGCAAGGTTACAAAGCTCAAAGTCCACTCCAAAGGTAGATATCTGCTCTTTAACAGAAAACACTTTTCAAGAACTACAACAAACGGCTCATTGGGACTAGAATGCACTTCTTCCAGGTCGTGTGAAGTCACAATGTCACTCATTTAAATAATCCCCGCCCACAAAATATGCAAAAAAAAAAAAGGGGGGTGACACCTGGTTGAGCTGCACTAGAGAAGACGAAGAAGAAGACCTGCTTTAGTAGCGTGTTGTTGCCATGTCGAAGAGACGCTGTTTTTTCCACCCCGGTTCCAAAACCCCTTTGTTTGGCTTTCCTAAAGCGGACGAACTTAGAAAATAGTGGTTAAAATGTATTTTTAACACTGTTCCTGAACATTATAACCCCAACGTTTATCTGAGTGCTGCATATTTAATGGAGAGTAGCTTCCAGACCAGAACCTAAGAGAATACATTGCTGGCTACTAGGGTTGCCAACTTCTGGAAAGGAAAATAAGGGACAATCATGGTGCTTTATAAGGAACAGAATAAGGGACACTCAAAATATGTGTACTGCACCACACAGTGTATGTCGTTTCAGTGTCTGCAGTTAAGTATGTGTATAAAGGGTTGTTCTCAGACACATTTGGGTCATTCCCTGTGAAATCAACCATTTGTGTTAATGGTTCAAACTATATGGTTCAATCTCATATATATAATGTGGATCCATGTTCAAATTGTTGAATTTTACCCATTGTCTATACATAGCTACAACAACAGATATTAAATATCATCAACCAAGGGTCTTAAAGCCTTCCGCGAACGTCTATGTTTGCAAATTAAACAATGATTTGTATCAAAGGAATGATTAATTCTCAGTTTAGAGCCTATGCCTTAGTATACAGTTACAATAAGTTATGTTGTTGCTACTATGTAAACAAAGAGCAAAGCTCTTTGGCTTTGCTAGCCTGCTAGCTAACATTACAGTGTTGATGTAGCGTTTAACTACAGAGGTCTCGCTTTTGTAAGACTGTTCACCGATCCTTAGGATCTTACCACTCTGAAATGTCCTGTAAATTCCGTGCTTGCAAAGGTTCTGCACGATCCTCTTGTTTGTAAGCATTTCATCTGAGCAGATGAAACTCGTGGTTATGGTTAGGGGCGTGACATTTTTTTAAACAACATTTTCTAAGCAGTTCGCTAATCACAAACTGCTCAACACTGGGCATGCTAACCAATCAGAGCACTTTTCATGTTTCGGAAGGAGGGGCTTAATCGAAACAGGAACTAAACAGAGCGTTTGAGACACTGGGAAGAGAGATGCTGCAATCATATAAAATATTTGAAATATAATCAGTTGTATTAGTTTTTGAACAATCAAGCATGGTAAATTATTCTAGTAAACCCCAGAAACAAAATCAAGACTTCGTAAAAGGGCATAATAGGACCCCTTTAATACATTGTCATAATTATAAACACCGGTTTGTAGCGCAAGTAGTTTTACCGCTTACTGCACTGTTGTTCTTCTAGTTTTTTACCTATAGTAGCTAATGAATTGGAAAAAAACATTTTTTTAAATAGAAAGCCTATTTAATTAATTAATTAATAATTCTAAAGTATTTAGAATTTAAATACTTTAAATTCTAATAAGATTTCACAATATTATTGTGTTTTTTTTGTGTATTTAATGACAGATAAAATATTTTTAATTTTTTTTTTTTTTTTTTTTTTTTTACATCATTCTCCTGCACCTACAGAGTGTTTAGTCAGAAGACATTTATGGAGCATGTGAATAATTCAAAAGTAAGCCCATGAGAAAATGGTCAGATTTAAAATCATGTACTTGCTTGTGCCAGCACCAGCTGAGCAACTGACATTGATATGAATGTGAATGCTAACAGATAGCTATCTTTTCAATGCATTGGATGCATTGTGGTATCAGCAATTCTCAGTGAGAAACATGCTGGTTTTAAAACAAAACATTCAACAGTGTTAGGAATCATGCCGACTTGCTCGCAGTCACACAGAAGCACACAGAGAAGTTAAGTCACCGATTCATGTTATTTGTTTCTTAGTAACTGTGTGAGTCTTCACTCTACATCAGTAGTAAGCTGTTAAAACAGATAACGTGTTTTGTCTCACTTGCGGGCCTTGACTCATAATTCCACAGTTTCACAGGGCTTTCGAAGCCTTATATCCATGTCAAGGATATGTCTGACTAATCGGACAGCTGCCAGGGCGTTCTGAAGTCTCTTTAACACTTCTTAGGGCACGAATGAGGAACATCAGCGATCAAAAGCATGTGACTTTATGTCACGGGAACATTAGCCGTTTCTGCATTCACATAACTTACATGAGCAAACAGATTGTGCCTTCCTTGACTGCAAACCCATACGAACATGAACATGAGTAGGGTTGTGGATAGGGTTGCCAACTTCAGCAGAGCAAATAAGGATCACTCTCCATTACTTTATACCACATATGGCACTTAAGATTTTAGTAAACCATTGGTGGCAAGTTGACCGTGTAGTAAACTGAAATTAAACACAGCTGTACGCCTGCAGCTATATGCGTGTATACAGTTATGCTTGACTGAATTAAGTGCAAAAAATGCATTTGAAATGCAATCACTTTGATTTTGGCTTACTGGCATATGACTTCATTGCATCTGTGGTAAAACTAAACAATTTTTCCGTAACATTGTATGTTTTCTCTGCCTAGGCAAATTAAAACACTTAGAGAATATAACAACCATAAGAGACTCTACATAAATATCTCAAAATGAACATAGTGAAAATGTTAACTGCTTTGTATTTACATAAATTAACATTATTGTTTTTGTGTACATTAAAAAACCCTCAGTTTTAGCCAGATTCACAAAACAAAATTTGAAATGGCAAATTGTATTTCCCTTTCATAAGGGAACTCGCGCTACGTCCCCTAGGGGTCGCTATAGGGGAATGTCTTAAGTGGGAATCTAAACACGACAATGAACTTGACATAGGCTGCAGGCTGCAGCCTATGCCGTCACTACAGGTGAGACCGAGAGTATAAAAGGGCACCTGTGCCAAACGTCATCCTTCAGGAGAACGTTTGTTTGAACGTGCGATCTGAACAGGCAAGTTTATTATGGCCAGCACCAGCACTGCC